AAGCCGTTGAGACAGGAGGGCTCTGTTTTCTCAAGGACTTGTGAGGCAATGTCAGAATTAGCTCTTAAAGATTATGAATATCCTTAGACATGGCCTAATATGTAAGCATTTCTCAGAAACTCCCCTGTAAGATTGACAAGATTTGACCTGCTGGCGGTAAATCCAGGGTTCAGTTTGGTTTAACTTGTGCAATGAGTAATTAGAGCTGTGTGGCCAAATCCCATCCGGTTGAGCTTGGAAACCTTGGCTGGACGGTCAAATATTGTTCGTGGCACCATGCAAAGCTCAGCCTCCCCCCAGGCTCAAAAATGGAAGTTTGCATGGTGTGGTATGCAAAAGTATCTACAATTTCTGCACTGCAGAGCCTTAAGCTAACTTTGCCAGGCATTTAATAAAATCAGAGGCTTGCATATATTAAAGGTGCGAAAAGATGAGCCTCTGGGGCACAGCTAGTTACAGCCTGGAGTGAGTTTCATTTCCTAGCAGATGACCACTTCTCTTAGAGGGGGTTTTCTTCTGATTTTCATGGGTTCATTTCACTCTCGTCTATGCCCATGTTAGATCGCCTTCGATTCTGCCTGTGTTGTTAACGGTTTGATGGAGGGTTAAGCCATGGGAAAGGCGAATCTCATGGGCAAAATCAGGCAAGGGAAGGCTGTCCCACAAGGACCATGGGGGATCTGCAGTGAGCACTATTTCTCAGGACCATGCCTTGGGCCCAGGGTGCTGATCAGGAATAAGAGGGCATGAATTTAATTGTGTATCCAGCATTTGGGGCAGAAGCAAGTGCCTCCACATGCGGTGACGTATAGGGCACAAAGCTGAGGCTGCCCAGGAGGGCCGAGGCAGTGGTGGGACCCGTGTAACCCGGACAGCCAGGACACCTCATAGCAGCGAGAAAGGCCATGTGCAAGGAGGGAAAGCATTTCTCCGTGTGGGCCAGGTCCAAGGAGGGAAAACCTCATGACCCCCATCTCGGCTGCAGGGCGGAGTGGTGGGCATCACCATAGACTGGAACTGTGACCTCGACTGGCCCATCCGGTACTGCAAACCCATTTACCAGTTCCACGGCCTTTACAATGATGACAGTAACGTTTCACCGGGCTTCAACTTCAGGTAAAGAGACCCCTGTTAACTCTCCAGGCAGAATTCAGAGGTGGCATCTTTCAGGATCCCACAGTACTCAAGAGGTGGTGGAAGATCAGGGACTGTTCTCCAAAATACTCACTGCCTTTTCCAGTGCCAGAACAGCAGTGCTCTCTGTAGAATGGCGTCAGAAAAGTGATAACCCATCCCTTGGCCTCAAAATTACCCCCTTGCCTTTCCCTGTATGTCTCCTCCCCCTTGCAGACTCTCCTGCTCAGCTGGTCTCTTGGGAAGACCCTGGACAGACTGGAGAAGGTGCAGGGTCATCTCACATGTTCCCACACTTCAAAGCATTCAGCCACAGCACGACATTTAGGCATGAGCTGCTGCTCCAGCTGCTGCTCTCGGCGAAGCTGCCGCTAGTGCTGCACTAATATCCGCTGTCACATAGCGCTTGGGGCCACCAGGTATCAGCACAAGCAGGAGCTTTAGCTCCAACTTGCAGGCAAGGAAACTGAGGCACAGAGGGGAGAGGTGCCGACAGCTGAGCTCCTTCAAGGGAGTTAAGGAGAGGGTCAGGAGCAGGTCTGTGCCAGTGCATCCCCAGATCTTTGTCCCCCTCTGCAGCCCATCAAGATCCCAGCACCACTGGGTTGCAGGGGGCTGTTAGACACCCTGGCAGGCCATTAACACTCACCATCCCATCGGACAGGTACGCCAAATACTACAAAGAAGACGGGACAGACAAGAGGACACTCTACAAGGTGTTTGGGATCCGGTTCGACATTTTGGTGAATGGCAAGGTAAGGGTGACTGGGCGCTGGGTTCACACCCAGATGCCCGTGACGGCACTGCCACATCCTCAGAAGGTGCCAGCTCTGTAATGCAGCACCCGGGGCGGGGGATGTCTCATGGGGCCAGGAAAACCAGTGCAAGCGGTTTCCTCGGGTGCTGGCCCACTCACAGCAGCCCTTGGCAAGTGCCAGGGAAAGGAACGTTGAGGGGAAGCCCATTTTACAGGTCACGGCTGTCAGCTGCAGTTTGACCAGTAGTTTTGTCCCAAAAAACGCCAGGATGGGTTGGGGGAGAAGTGTGGAAAGTCAAAATCTTTTACTGATATTTCCAAAAGCTGAACTTTTGCATTTTTCTATTTTGTCTTTTTTTTTTTTTTCCCCACTGGGAGAGAAGGCTTTCCTCGTTGTGTTCCCACTGGGAATATTTAAAAGGTATACTTTTTTTTTAATTAAAAATACAGGAAGCAAAGGAATTTCAATTAGTGTCAGCCTAAAATTAACCTACCATATTTTTCTGTTTGACCAATGAGCTTAAAACCAGCTCTTACCCAATTCCTGTTTCTCTCTGTGCTGTGGTTGTGGTTTGGGTTGCTGCAAGGCACTTTAGCTGAACCCCACCTATAGCTATGGCACCCTTTTATTTTTTTTCCTCGGCTGATTGTAACGTATCACCTGTTTTCTCTGATTTTATTCAGGCAGGCAAATTTGACATCATCCCAACCATGACCACAATTGGCTCTGGAATTGGTATTTTCGGGGTGGTAAGTTCCGATATTTCCAGCCTCTATATGGAGACTCTCAAATTATTCTCCTTGCCTGTGACACCTGTGGGGAAGTGTCCCTGAGCTGCAGCGAAACGCTGGTTCCAGCCCAGACAACGGGATGAGCAAAAGGGGAAAAGGAGGTGCTCTCCTGCCTCACTAGCTCAAAAAAAAAACTGCTGACCAGTGGCTTATGTGAATACTGCTAGCGGGAGCTGCTGCCCTGCCAAGTGAGGGGAAGGCAGGCTTTTGTGGCAGGGCCATGTCTTGGTATCATGATAGTTTCAAGTTAGAGCTGGTATTGAGGGGGTTTTGGAAGTGATGTGCAGTATTTCATGCACAACAGAAAATCAGCATCCTATTTAGTTGCGGTCATTAAAGACTTTGGCATGACCCGAAGGGTGTTGTGCTCTGCATATACCTAAAGCAGGAACACTTGATTTCTGTGGCATTAAATTGCCCAGTATTGAACGCAGCACACTTCACTGCTGTCCTAAATGGACATTCGGGGGCCGTGCGCTCTTGGGCAGCTGCCACATTGTGAGTTGAAGCAGAAGTGACCCTAATTTGCGTGGCAAACTGGAACAAGCTGGAAGTACAAGGTGGCACAGGTGATCCGGGAGGGCAGCCCCAACCCTAACTGCACTTTGATTTAAGGCCTCTGTCCTCTGTGACCTGCTCCTGCTGCATTTTCTCCAAGGACGGGACTATTACAAGCAGAAGAAATTCAAATATGCAGAACAGGAGCCTGTAAGTAACCACGAGTCCCTTCCCTGTGGAGGCTTTTGCGGGTGTGTGAGTGTGGATGTGTGCATGAGTAATGATGCTCTAACACAAACAACATTTATGTTGAGGAGCAACCAGATGCCTTCCTGAGCTAGTGGGAATCCTGAGCCCTTGGGACTGTCAGAGACTGGGATCCATGGATCTCCTCTGCAAAATTACGGAGATCTTCTGTATGACTTGCTGTTAATAGCTTTATTCCCTCCCTTTATCCCCAGATATTCCAATATCTGGTTACACTTGCATTGCGTTAAGGGAAGCAGGGGCAGACCAGTGCCTTAGCAAACTGGAGAAAGTCCCCTTTTCTGCTTTCTGAGAACGCCTCCATGGCCATGGGATGTTTCGTGGCCTTTCATAGGACAAGAAAACGAGTGCCCTCAAATTCGTCTTTATATATGCTTATACAGTAGGGGTCAGAAGTTGCTGTTCAACCACATTTTTCCCTGCCATTAGAAAGGGGCAGGTCTGTAAGAGTCATTGTTTTCTCTCATTTAACCCCCAGTCGAAGTCACATAAGAAGCAAAAGGAGATGGACAACACACAGTGAGAGGTGAGCGGTGTTTCCCCAGCCCTGCTAGCTTACAGCTGAAAGGGGTGAGGGCTATGGGTCTCGGGGCAGTCCCAAGGCCTCTGGGAAGGCAGCAGGGCTCCAGGGGAGGTGTGGAGGAGATCTGAGCTGTGGTCAGGTCTAACCTGGGGTCAGGTCTAATGTCTAACCTTGGACTAGACTATCTCCAGAGGTCCCTTCCAACCCCTACCATTCTGTGATGCTCTCAGTGTTTCCCAGGGCGGGCAAGTCCACAATGCAGCACTGGGTGTGGGATTGACATCGTACCTCCGATGGCAACATTGCTTGCAGAGGGGCAGTGGGGGGCAAGAGACCAGAAATCACTGTGCACCCATCTCTCTTGGCAGAATCCACACTGACTGACAAACCTGCACCCTCTTCCTCCTCCTCTCCTAAACCACGGTCATCATCCCCCTTCAGCACCCTGTGCCAGCCCCACGACCAGCAGGAGCAGCATCAGACACCGGCTCACGGGAACAACCTGCAGCCAGGGCAGGGTCCGGCTGGCCGGCAGCTCTGCCCCTGGTGGGACACGCTGTGATGCTGTGGGTGGGTTAAACTAAGGGACCCTCGGGCTCTGCCACAGGGCACCGGGGTTTGCCACCTTTGCAGGCACTTCTGAAGGGCTCCCACTGTGCCCAGACCGAGCCAGGGCATCCCACACCCTGAGGCCCCTGGGGAGAACATCGCTGTCTCTCCTTCCCCAGCAGCACCCTTGAACAGCTCCAAATTGAGGAGAGGGGGAGGGAAGGAGAGCTGGCAAGAACCATGCCCAGCCCCTCAGCGTGGGAGAAAAACGGTTATTTTGTAAGGATGTATTTTATTAAAAAAAGAATAAACCTTTAGTTTTTCTACTACATCCCTTTGTGGTGCCCATGCTTGCCCTGGGGTGTGGGGCACGCAGTGCTTTTTGGCACTGGGGGGGGTTTGTGCACGTAGAGCAACCCTGTAAACCAGGCTGGAGAATGGGGCCTCTGCAACGGGCTCAGTGCAGGCTCCCGGGGCTCTGCCTTCCTGTGCAGGGCCCCTGGGCCCCTGGCCACGAGCAGGGGTTGTTATCAGGGTTGTCACTTGGGTTTCCTCCTCAGACAGGCTGGCTGGCGGAGAGCGCTGGCGCGCTGCCGGCCACCAAGAACAGCGGCCCTGGGCCAGCTCTGTCTCCTGCTGCCCACGGCGGTCAGTATCAGCCTGTCAGAATTGACCTTCTCGGCGGCAGCCTCACAAACCAGCTCTTTGCACCCAGAAGCAAAACTCTCTGCTAGAAGATTTGCACTACTCAGCGTGTGCAGCTGGACACCACGAGCTACGCCCAAGCGCCACGTCGGTACGAGCAGCCCCTGCCCAGTACTGCCGGCTCTGTTCAGTTCTCCAGGAAGCATCAGCACAGACTTTCTGCACAGTCTCTCTCTGAATGTTGTTTTCTCCCCACTCACCCGGAGGAAATTTTGCCTTGGTTACTTCAAAACTGGATCCCATCTGCTGTGGGAAAGTCAGTAAAGAAGCTATAGGGATTGCTCTGCCTGTGGCTGCAACGCTGCCGACTGTGGTGGGGAGCGTGAGCTGGCAGCCTGCAGGACAGGCGCACTGCACTGGGCTCGGAGGGACACAGGGGCACGTGCCACAGACAGTTGCAGGTGATATTTGGTCATAAACTCAAATATTTCAAGCCATACATTCCCCATGAGGAGATTCTTTGCTCTCAGAAGGATGCTTCAGCTTTCACAGGCAGGGTTTTTTTTTTTTTTAAGACAGCCCTTTGGCTAACTTTTTCATCCCTTCTCACAATGCTGTCCCATAAGAGAGGTGCCAGGTGCTCGTATTAGAGATGCAGAGATGAGGATGGGGAAAGCTGCCTGGTCTCTGGAGGAGTTAGTGCTGCCTTAGTAGGTCCTGAGGGCATGGGGCTGGTGGCATCCCTGCGTAGCGTGTGCTCTCCTGCAGCGCTCATCCAGGCGAAGCACTGCACAGCCATCCAGTGCGATGGTGCAGCTCCCCAGCAAGCTGCAACCAGTAGAGGGGACTGGAAGACCATTTCACACCGACACGCCTGGGGAAAATTCAGTTGCCAAAGATTAGAGGCAGTGAAGTGAGAGTGTTCAGGTAACCTTTTGCACCCACTTAAACTGGGTCAATCTCGGGTCATAACTTAAAATAACCAGCGCAAGGCTGCGGGTAGAGCAGGGGGTTGCTTCTGCCTGCTTAATCGTTCAAGCTGCTTGTAATGCAAAGCCCCTATCCTTTCCTAGGAAGTATTAAAAGGCAGAATAGGAAATTAGGAAAAATTCTACTTGTAAATGATCCCCTGTAGTTGCAATTCAAAACCTCTAAGCTGGGGTCCCTAAAAGTCCCAAGACTGCTTTAAAAATCATGGGAGGGTTTATTTTCATCTCCTTGCTTGTTTTTGAAAATGCATAATCTTTGGGGGTCTTTCTCTTTGCTTTTCATTCACCAACCATTTCTGCAAACAGCAGAATGAGATATTGTAATTTTAATCCTTTCACCAGAACAAGCTCCTCCTTTAAACCAGGGCCCCTGGGGCCAGTGGCTTTCAGGTGGGTGCCATGCAGAGCGATAGCTGTCTGGAGGAAACCGAGCAAGTGTCTGATGTTACATTCACTGGTGGCCTCTGTGGTATGAAAAGGCTGGGAAAGCCCATGGCGATTGTTTCCATCTCTTCTTTTGCCAGAGGGGCTGGAGCTGGTGCTCAGGGTGGGAGACCAAGGAGATCTGTTCCACCCCATGGGGGAGGTTTTCTTGGTGTAGGTGCTCTAGGTCAGTATGGCAGCTCCCAGCCCCTTCTCCCAGTGCCTTCTGGTTTGCTAAAATTACTGAATGCAGGATAGTACTCAACTATTGAAAGTCTGCACATCTAAAGCACTGAAAAAATGGAAATAATGACAGGTTTAAGATTTGCCCGTTGAGAAAGGCTGCACTCTGCAGCGTCCTGATGTTGCTACTGAGCTTGTTGCATGGAGGTCTCCCAGTGCCAGTCCCAGTGGGGAGGTGCGCCTTACCAGCAGGTCTTCTTGGTTTGACCTGGTCTTGCTCTTAGGGTCAGGGAAGAATTTCCTGTGCTTGGCATCTGCTGTGGCCAGAAAGCGACGCTATCTGAAGCTGTAAAATGTGGCCAGTGTACCCTGCTGCTCTCTGACCACTGAGCAGTGAGCCAAAGCGTCACAGAAGCCCAAACGGGTTTGGTCATCGTGCGAAGATCCCTGCAATGACAGTTTGCTGGGTCGCTGCCTATTTATGCTGTGGCAATTGAGGGTTGGGTTGTTCGTGTTTTTTTAAAACTCCTTGTTTAATTGTGCTTTGGGTTTTACGCGGTTATTTGGCTAATAGAAAAATATTAATAGAACAGGAACCTTCAGCAAATCAAACACTGCCTCCAGTCCTGTCAGCCAGAAAACACACAAGAAAGTATATATTGTCCAGCTAATCCCTAATCATTACAAACAGCACTAACAAGCCCTTGTTTGTGGTGTTGTCAGATAGTGCTCTAAGGGTCTAACAGAAGTCTCTTGCACCGATCATGTGTGTTAGATGAAGAGAGCAAGCCGTGAGTGCAGTGTTACTATTCCCAGTTTACAGAAAGGGAAATCAAGGCACAAGCAATTTCTGAATGCAAATGTGGTGAGCAGATTCTGCCTCTGACCAATTATTATTATCTGTTAAGGCTACCAGGTTGGACCTAGTACAAATATCTTTTCATCCCCTCAGGCAGGGTTACTCTGAAAGAAATCAAGTGGCACAGACAATCCAGAAGAGCAATTGCAGAAAAACTCATTTGGCAATAATTATGCTGGTTAATGATGCTGCAGAGATGAAGAATTATGTTTCAACCTCTGCAGAGCCGGCAATGTTTAATCATTATGTTTGCGCACAGTTCCCAGCACAAAGAGGCCCTGATTTCCACCTGGTACTTCCAGACACTATAACGATGCAAATTAAAAATTAATAACACCAAAGAAAGAGATAGCTCCTTCCCTGTGCAATCTCTCCTGTCTCTAAACCCACTCATTCTTTCTCTGGCACAGCAGCCTCCCTTTTATTTTTAACCCAGCCCTCTACTTAGGACATCCCTGGATTTTTCCCTAAAAAAAGCACCTGTCTCTCCAGTGACACTAATTCCCTTTCTCTTTTGATGTGGGAGCATGTTTTCAGTCAGATAAATCCTCTGGCTGACACACGGTGAAGGACTGACGGGAACATTCATGTCCTCCCAACTCTAAAGGATGCTTTTATTTCCTTCTGTCCCAAAGATGCGCGTTCTCAGGACAGATTATGCTGGGTGGCAAAAGGACCCCTCTGCCATCAGAGCGCTAGACATCTGCAGCTCAGCCTGCAGTCATACTCCTGGGTCTGTGCGGTTCTTACAGCTCATTTTCACTGCTGCCAGCTCTGTATTAATTACGCCACGCTGTTTTCTTCTGCTTTCTTTGGTCAAGTGCTCTCTCCTTCTATTATCTGTTTCTGATTGGTTTATTGCCTCATTTTAGAAAGCGTAAAAGTCAAAAGTGTCCAAATGGATTCTGAACATAGCAACAGCGCAGTCAACCAAGGGGTTCTTCCCCAGGGGTGAATCAGGATCATTCCAGTTAACAGAGTTCTGCCTTTCAGTAGCAAGCATGGATCCTGCTCAGCTTTACGGCACCACAAAGAGATGTGGCCCAAGCTATTCTTAAAAGAAATGATAGCTTCAACTCTTTTTTTTATCTAAACACACTTGTGAGATGCCTGGGGAAATGTCAGGTCTCCCTCTCATGGCTGTAACTCAAGGACAGGTTAAATAAATGCCCTCCCAGTCCTTGCACCCAGAAAACATGTGGGAAATAACAGTTACCAACTAACTACACCCAATCATTATTGAATGAACACCAAAGTCTTATTTTAACACTGTTATAGCCATCATAGTCTAAGCATCAGAGACACATTATTTGGGACTCTTTTTGCACTGGTCGTTGCTGCTCTGCAGTGTA